TATTAATTTGTAAAGAAATTTTGCAAAATAACTCAAAAGATCTGCACAGAGTTTGAACCAATTTAAATGAAATTAACCTAATAAATATTAAATACAACATCTGTTGGCGCCATGAGAAATACGAAATGAACAACACTCTCTCCCATTTGCTCAAAAATTGCAAAACCCTTGAAACCCTTAAATCAATCCACGCCCACCTATTGGTCTGCGGTTCAATTTTCTCTTCAGACCTCATTCTCAATAAAATTCTCCGCCTGTACTCGCGTTTTGGAAGCACTGACTATGCGCAAAAGTTGTTTGATAAAATCCCCCAACCAAACTCATTTCTTTACACTTCAATGATTCATGGATACGTCGAGAATTTACAAAACAGAGAACCCTTTTTTCTCCTTTATAAAATGCGGGTTCTAGATGTCCCGTTGTTGAATTTCACTATTTTATCAATACTGAGGGCCTTGGGCCGTGCAAAGAGGTTGAGAGATGGGGAGGGGATTTATGGGTTTGTTATAAAGTATGGGCTCGGGTTTGATTTACTAGTGCAAAATGGGATGATTGACTTTTTTGTGAAGTGTTGGGAAGTTTGTTATGGGAGAAGGGTGTTTGATGGAATGGAGGAAAAGGATGTTGTTTCTTGGAATACAATGATATCAGGGTATGTAGGTGTTGGGAGAGTAGAGGATGCACGGGAATTGTTTGAAGGTATGTTGGAGAGGAATGTGGTTTCTTGGACTATTTTGATTTCTGGGTATGTGAAAATGGGTGACATGGTGGAGGCACGAAGGCTTTTTGAAGCAATGCCTGTTAAGGATTTAGCTGTTTGGAACCTAATGGTTTTTGGCTATGTGGATGTTGGTGAACTTGACGCCGCTCATATTCTGTTTGAAACAGCACCAGATCGGGATGTGGGGATGTGGAATTTGATGATATCAGGGTTCTGTAAAGTGGGAGAAATGGAGCAGTCAAAGGTGTATTTTGAGAAAATGCCTCATAAGAATGTGTCTTCATGGACCATCATGTTAGATGGATATGCTAAATCTGGAAATATGAACGAGGCGAGACAATTCTTTGACCAGATGCCTGAGAAGAATCTGGTTTCTTGGTCTGCTATAATTGGGGGTTATGCAAAGAATGGGCAACCTCATGCTGCCTTGAAGTTATTTGAATGCTTTAAAGAGACGGGTATCAAGCCAGATGAAACATTTGTTTTGGCTATAATCTCAGCTTGCTCTCAGCTGGGGATTGCGGATGTAGCTGAGTCAATTATTCATAACTATGTAGGAACAATTTCTTCAAACACACATGTAGTCACCAGCTTAATAGATATGTACGCAAAATGTGGAAGAATTGAGAAAGCCTCACAAGTATTCAAAATGGCTGATAAAAAAGATTTGCTTTGTTATAGTACCATGATTGCTGCCTTTGGAAATCATGGTTTGGTTCCAGAAGCAATCACTTTGTTTCATGACATGAAAATGGCGAACATAAAACCAGATGCAGTAACGTTTCTTGGAGTTTTGAGTGCATGTAATCATGGAGGACTTGTTGATGAGGGCAGGAGCTGTTTTAAGCAAATGATAGAAGAATATAATATTAAACCCACTGAGAAGCATTATGCGTGCATGGTGGATCTCTTTGGTCGTGCTGGATTACTTGAAGAGGCTTACAATCTAATTTGTGACATGAATGTGCTACCAACAGCAGTTGTATGGGGTTCTTTGCTTGCAGCTTGTAAGGTTTATGGCAATGTTCATCTGGCTGAAATTGCGGCCTTTGAGTTATTCAAGATTGAGCCTGAAAATTCAGGAAACTATGTTCTTTTATCTAGTATTTATGCTGCTGTTGGGAGATGGCGTGATGTTGCTAAATTAAGAGCAATGATTAGGGAGCATGGAGTGAGGAAAAATCGTGGTTCGAGTTGGATTGAGTTAGACTCCGTGGTGCATGAGTTTGTCATGGGAGATATGTCACATTTGGATAAAGATAGAATATATTTTATGTTAGATTTGCTTCGTGAGGAAATGAAGCCTTTAGGTGACTCAGCTTTGAGCCCTTCTCAATCTGAATCCGCTGATTTAATAAATGGTGGAGTGAGAAATAAGATGCATAAGTTAGCGAAATGCAATGCTGAATGCTGTAGAACCTGATTATGTTGAATCTATTGAATTGTGATCATTTTGAATGATTCTAAATTCATATTGATTTTGCTTCCTTAGCCTCTTTTAGGTCACCAATGTCTTTGTCAAGCTTCAAACCATCTCATCAAAGGTGGTGCTTCACAGAATTAGGGACAAAGGTCAGTTGATTGCTTGGTTTTTCAGTGTCAACACAACTGTTAATTTTTTTTCCCTACATATTTTCCTAATGTACGAGTGTTAGCTTAAATTATTCATATGGCTATCAATTACTTAATTTTTCCAACTTAATCTTGTTGACCAACAAAAATATGTTGATAAAACTCATAATTAGAATAATGTTGGAATGAATCCATGGAATTTTACATAACTTTTAGTTAATATTAATTCCTGATAGGGCATCTGTATCTTGTCTGCTTGCTATCAAAATGGCAGTCAATTTTTGAGATATTATTTAGTGTTTGATAAAATTTTTAACCGATCAAACTTCAATTTTAACAATACATTTCATGAGATCCACAACTTTTGTCAAATTTTCAACCACAAATTTTATCGGCTTTTATCAAAATCTGCTTAAACTTCTGTTAAAAGATTTGTCAAACAACCGCTTATTACCAGATCATACTGCAAAATAAGTATGGCACCAGCACACGATAAATAGGGAAGAGAGTTCTATTTTCAAATAGGCAGAAAGTGGGTATAGTATTGGGAACTTATTGTATTTCTTTTCATGTTAGTTCCAATCAGTGCAAATATATGAGTACAACAAGAAGATTACAAATACGGATCTGTTCCTTGACCATACAGATTCAGCAACAAATCAGCAGGGTCCTATCAAATACCTCTTTACCAAAAGAATGTAAGTGTTCTAAACAAGATCAAGGTTTAGATACCTTTCTGTCTGTTATGTTACTTGTTGAAGTTCAATGAACCTGCAGAATATAAAATTAAATTGGATGAATAACGTATTTATTTGGTTATATTATTAATTTGTTCAATCTCTTCTCTGAAAACTCAGCTTTATAATCTGCTCATTTATTAACAAAATTAATGTTCAAGATGCACAAAAAAATTCTTCATTGCTCGAAGAGATCAATATGGAAATGTTTCATATCTGCCAACTGATTAGCATTATGATGGTTTTGTAAGACTTTGGATGCTGTATATCTCATAGTAACACATTAAATTGCATACAAGTGGAATCTTTCTCTCTCTCTCTTTCTTTATGGAAGATGGCATCCTACTTTTATGATATGGTCTATCCCCTCAATTATCATATCGCCAGTCGATATTTAACAAACTCAGTGATTCTCACTGTGTACTAACCATTGAGCATATATTGCGATTTCCCTAAGTATGACTTTCCCTGGCTGATATTAGTACTTGAACTAGAAGATATTCTTGTATGTTGGCTTATGGAAACTTTTTATTTTTTATATTTTAAAAGGAGATAAATAGATTTCACCCCTCCCCCAAAAGGAGAGCCCAAGTCATCAGCCTGGTAAGTCTTCGCTCTAACCACATGATTCAGGCCTTGACTTTTTATGGAAGCTTTTGAAGCTGACAAGTATGATTAGTTGACTTAATGTTTCGTCATCTTTTGCGATGTTTATCTATATGGTCTAAATTACTGCTAAGAGAAATTACACATTCTACGTCTGAAACGAAAGATTCATGCTTTTTCATAAACTGAAACTAGAACAGAAAATGATAATAGTTGAAGCAGCATAACTATTCTTTGGATACCTTACTGTATTTCAATTGATTCCTGTAATTCACATATTACTGTCATCATCTATGATACGAAGAAAGAACATTATAGCCACATTCATGTGCAAAATTCTAGGTTATCCACATTGTCATTATAGTTCTTGACCAAAACTAAAGTATAAACTTAATTAACACATTAATTTCTAGAGATTTATTGGGCTTAATGGTTCTTACCTAAGTAATTAGGCTGCAAAATTATGGCTTGAATAACCAAAAATTGGATTACCAGAACATATACAATTGCAAAGACGGCAAATGTTGTCTGTATTGTTTTTATGTATTTATTACGATCAAATTTTTAACGTACAGGCTGTTAAACCACCATGGTTTTCACTGCTACAATTGGTATTAGGGAAACTGTAATTACTATGGTCTTCCCTCGACCCTCTCAGGCGAATTGCGAAGAAAACTCATTGATTGAACAAAATAAGGTTCTTCGAGACCCCTTGCCTTTAGGAAGATTCTCTCTTCCTGAGAAACATCATGTCTTCTATTTCTGTTATACGAATTTAAGCTTCAGATTAATCCCTCCCAGAAAGTTTGATCTGGGGAACGAGTCTTTGTTTCCATGGCTGTCCTCAGGCTCCCAAGTCAAAATCGCATGCCATATCCCTAGCCTCTAGCTTCTGACCCTTTGATGATCAATCTCTTGCAGGATGAAATGAACATACTGCATAAAGAGTATAAAGGTCATGCTTATATGTGACAGAAAGGAGAGGAATGGAACTTACTCCCATGGAACATCTCCAACAAGCATCGAGTCACCATCATTATCTTCATATGTAGGTGCATATTCTGATCCTTACAGCCTTCCCTCTCTGAATAATCCCCTGATGAGATAAAAACGAGACCATGCCAACGTTAGAATGACCACAATCATCTTGGGAATTCAAAATTACATGATAGTATTACTTGAATAATCATTTAAAAATAACAAAAAATATTCTTATGGTAAATTTGAACATTATTTCCAAGACCTTGAGGAGCACTGGATATCCATTGTAAACATTCAGATCAATCTTTCTAAGGTAAGGGGCTCCATCCATGCTTACTTTCACATGAATCCCAGTTTCAATTTCTGTCTTCTTCATCTGGAGATTATTCTTCCGAAAGGACCGAACTGGTGGCCACCCTACTATCTGTGCCCTGCCATCTGAAACCAACCAAACGAGTTAGTCACTAACACAAAATTTACCTTTTTATATTTCTCAGTATAAACAAATATTCAAATATCCTGAAGAAAAGGTTAAGGGCACCGGCTTACTTGGATGCTGGTGCAGTTTCTTGTTTGGCGTCAGAATTGCCCTTGGATCCACTGTCTTGAATCAACTCAGACAAGGCTCGATTGTTATGCTTAGTATTGGAAACTATGTCTTTCTTAGATTCATGTGTCCAAGGCAATCCCAATCTGAGGTCAGTTGCCTTGAGATTCAGGTCATATCCAAAAGAATCAGTCTACAATTACAAGAAATTTGTACAGAATTAGTATAGAAATTTGAAATAGATGACACAGATTCAAAGATAGAAAAAAAAAATACACACACAAATGCACAGCAGCATCCTGTACAAATTCTGTGAGTTATTCCCTGTTCTTAGGGAATAACTCTATTCAAAAGCCATAACAACTTTCATTTTCCCAAATGATCCTTAGTGAATAGCTGAATCAAACTGGACCTTTTCAAAATTTCTATGGAGATGTCAGTGTATAATAAGCTGCGGAGATGTGAGAAGAAATGTTGTCGCTGTTATGGGCTTAATAGTTAGATTTGAAATGATATAACATGTAAATTGTTGGGACAAGAGAGGGACAAGCTTAGCAGCCCATGTGGAAGAATTTTTATTATTATTATTTTTTTGGGGGTGGGTTAGGGTTGAGGCTGTGGAAGAGAAAAATAATGGAGATGCCTACTATGTGAATGGAAGGGTCCACATGGATGTTGGGTATGGGAATAGCATGTCCCATGTCGCCAAATATTAATTAACTACAGTATGGTGGAGTTTATATGTTCAAATATAGTATGTCGAGAATGCATGGGAGACATATTTTCAGAGTAATGCTATATCATCAGCAGTTTAGGTGGCAGTGATTTCATTGATTTATTGTCCGATGCATGGGTATACTATTACAAAGACCATTGATGATCACAATTAATGATAAATAACATTATTCATATTTTCATTTTCTTTTGACACTAGAAAAAGAATGGTTCTATTTAAATTTCTTGTCAAGACACTTAGTAGTATAGATTTTGAATAGCCAAAAACTTATTTCCATAGACATATAAGCAAAGATAATATGAGGAAAATCTACTTGTTTATCAATTAAAGAGATGTTTACGTTGGTTTCCCATTAAAATTATGCTAAACCATGGGTAAATTTTATTTTTGATAACTGAACTTTTAGTGAAATCTCAATTGGTTCACCTAAGTTTAATTTGTGGCAATCAAATCATTGTACTTCAATACAACGTTGGTTGGTCTTTAGCAGACATTACTAAACTTAATGTCACTATCTTACGTGAACTTTAAAAAATGACACAATATGACGTGTCTTCTGTTTCATGTAAATAGATGTCACCTAATTGTTTGTAAAATTTAAAATTATATTGGGATGTAAATCGAAAGTAACTTATCTAGTGAAACGTAGTCATAGCTCCATTCATAGATGGTTTAAATATTTTAGAGCAACATGATTTGATGCCCTATTTACCAAGAAGTGAGAATTAATGGAGGGTTGAAGTATCAAGTTTAACAACATTCTAAGAAAGAATCCATATTGTCTTTGCTTGAATTGAAAGTATGTATCCTGATTTTGGGGATATGTTAACAAGCGTTTCTTACTTTTTAGTACCTATTGTCGTTCACCCAAGACATTGAATCCTATAAGTTATGTACCAAAAATATTAATCAGATTAAGAAATACTAATGACAAGGTCCAAATACTCGATTTATCTACTTATACATCTTATATTATATATCAGATAGTTCAAATTAAATGTCCAATGAAAGAAAAAGGGTGTACAATCAACGGTACACAGAATATGAAATAGCAAAGAAAGTGAGTTCATATGCCACATTGTTACCTCTCGAGGTATAGAGCAATACAAATATTATCATTTGAGAGTGAAAAAAAAAATTATGGGAAACCAAAAACATTTCAATTTATATATTGATAATTTGACAATTACAAACCAAGATTATTTGCAATTCTATTTATTATTTGCATTTCAACAAATTTCTTGAAACAAAATATGCCTTCTTTTTATGACTTCAAAATTTTCATATGCTCCAATAAGCTCTTCCCATCAAGCTTGCTTGTAATAACCAACCTTAAATACTCCTCATGGCCTATTGTCTTGTATTTTTCTCCCTTCTTTTCCACGAGATCATGCAACGGACCAATTTTCGTCGTAATATTTGGACTATGAAATGCAGCAATCGAAAGTCGTTCCTTCTCAAAGTCAACGACAGCTCTATGCTCGATGCTACTATATTCACCATTACTCATTATCTGCATTCGAGTCAAATAATTGAGAATCTATTAGTCCTTTTACACCAACTATAATTATAACACTAAAAAAGACGTGTTTAATATGTTAGACTGCACGTTACCTCCATGATATCACCAACATTGATGATGATGGCTCCCGGAACGGGTTTAATCGGTACCCATTGTCTATCTTTCTTAATTTGTAAACCTTGAACTTCATTGACTTGTATCAACAGCGTTAGTCCTGTGGCATCAGAGTGTGGAGTGAGGCCAATAACCTTGTCAGCATGTACACAAGGTGGATAATAATTCATTCTTATTCCTTGATTGCAATCTTTATACGCCGCAGTGAGTTTTTCTGGGTCAATTCCGAGATTTATAGCCATCAATGTGAAAAGCTTTAGTGCAATTTTTTGCAGCTCCATCGAGTATTTCTCCAAAGTGGATCTGGTATATACACCACAGGACAGGCAATCATTTCATTAGGAAACAGAATTTGAACTTGAGAGGGTTTTAATCATCTATTCTCATGTATTGCAAATAGTCAGAGACATTGAGGAATATTGAGAAAGGCCTTTAAGATTTTAGGCTGGCCAAAACATGAGGTTCCCAACCTGAAAGAGGCAGGAGTTTTGGGCCAGAATCTCATGTTTCTTTGAGAGACTGGTAGAGGAAGAAGAAAGAGCATGTCGCCCCAGTCGAGTTTTTGATCTTCTGATACGACGAATGCCTGCCCATAGCCTTCAATGTTATCTGGAGTCTGTTCATAGGCCATCTTCTCTTCCAGAGGAAGTTTAAAGAATTCTGAGGTGACCACCTTCATTTCTTCAATTGCCTCAGATGCCCCATGATTAATCAACTACACGCGGTAAATATAAATGTCACGTTCAATATGCTCGATTAGACAGCAGTACTGGACTACGACCAAAGAAAAATAAGTTAAAATGTCGTCTAGTATGCATGTTACCTGAAAGAATCCCCATTCTTTACAAGCAATATGAAGTTTCAACAACTCCCGATCATACACTACAGATATTTCAGTATCTAGCTTGCTCATGTCAATCATTGGAATCTGCAAGGATTCATCAAAAGAAACTTTTTCGATATTGAGTTCTGGTCGAATGTAGCGGAGTGGGATGTCTTTTGAGCTGTGGGAAGATAGTTGTTGTACATTCTCAACAGGGAGTGAACCACCATATTCCATTACACCAGCCACCTCAGTTTCCATTGCTCAATACCAGTGTCTAATTTACTGTCCCCTTTTCTTCTCGTATTTGTTAACTCAGCCTCAGATTTTTGTGTTGACATTTGTGTGCCTTGGAATTAACGATTTCTTGGCCGACTGAAGGAGAAGGCACCAACTGAATAAGGACAAATAGATGATATCCAAAAAACTTGCCATTAGTTATTTTTTTTTTCAACTTTTGTCGAAGTGTTGTTGTCCCATTTTGTCTTGGTTGATTCTAGTCTCAAGATAGGACTCGGTCCATGCCACATAGATTGAGGCTAACTATATATTGCCTAATTCATAGATACTCGAACTAAAAGTGACTACTTTAGTTAAAATCGACCGTAAGCAATTATAAATAACTCTCAAAATAATTAAATTCTTAAAAGTACAGTTGTTGGATGATTCATAATGTTAGATTCGACAAATAATGTTTAAATGAGTTATTTCCAAATTAAACCGGAGGCATCTTTTTTTCCTAGCATATAACATGATGATCGAAAATCTACGATAATGCACTGTGCTGTTCGTATTTTGTAAGCTATTGGGTCAAACTCTAGGCCAGTGTTTGGTGTGAATTAAAATTTGTAATACGTATACATAATCAGTTATTTAAATAGGCCTCTCCAAACTGCCTGCCCTGGATCATTTGCCCGAGCTTCATGTATTAAACGAGTTGCTTCTCGAAAGTAAGGTTCATCAATATCTACACAACAGAGAGCAAGGTTGAAAGGATCAGACGTTTAAGGGTGCCCTTTGCATAGCCCTATCTTTCCCAAGTGAAAGGGAAACAGTTTATCGTCCTTGACATGCATTTATTGTAGGGTTAATTTCACAAACGGTCACTGAAATTACGTGAAAATTACAAAACGGTCATTAAAGTTCAAAACTTGTAGAAATGGTCACTAAAATTTCACGCGGTTTCAAAAACGGTCACTGAACTTAGTGTTGGGACTATTATGTTTTAATTCAAACCTAAAGCGCCAAAACACGTAAACATAGAAGCTGGAGGACTTCAAGTGCAAAATTCAACTTAAAATCCCCCAAACCTAGACCAACACTTTTTGCGCTCCATTCTACCACTTTTCGGCCACCAAAACCATTGGATCAACATACCACCTTGAAGCCCTCACTGCCCTCTACGCAGCCCACCCAAGAACCGCCTCTAACTCAGATGGTGGAGGCCGAAATTTCGTCCCAAATTGGCCTTCTCGCACAGTCGGTAGTTTTGTGATATGCGAGAGGCCTACTTTGGGACGAAATTCCACCACTTTTTGGCCACCAAAACCACTAGACCAACGCACCACCTTGAAGCCCTCGCTGCCTTCTACGTAATCCACCTAAGAGGCTAAGAACCGCCCCTAACTCTAACCATGGTGGCCGAAATTTCGTACCAAAGTGGGCCTCTCGCACAGTCGATAATTGTGAGTGGCCCAATTTCAGATGAAATTCCGACCACCACCTTCTGAGTTAGGGGCAGTTGTGGAGGCCGAAATTTCGTCCCAAATTGGCCTTCTCGCACAGTCGGTAGTTTTGTGATGTGCGAGAGGCCTACTTTGGGACGAAATTCCACCACTTTTTGGCCACCAAAACCACTAGACCAACGCACCACCTTGAAGCCCTCGCTGCCTTCTACGTAATCCACCTAAGAACCGCCCCTAACTCTAACCATGGTGGCCGAAATTTCGTACCAAAGTGGGCCTCTCGTACAGTCGATAATTGTGAGTGGCCCAATTTCAGATGAAATTCCGACCACCACCTTCTGAGTTAGGGGCAGTTCTTAGGAGGGTTACGTAGAGGGCAGTGAGGGCTTCAAGGTGGTATGTTGCTCCGGTAGTTTTGGTGGCCGGAAAGTGGTGGAATGGGGCGCGAAAAGTGGTGGTCTGGGTTTGGGGGATTTTAAGTTGAAGTTTGCACTTGAAGTCCACCAACTTCTATGTCCACGTGTGTCGGTGCTTTAGGTTTGAATTAAAACATAATAGTCCTAAAACTAAGTTCAGTGACTGTTTTTGAAACCTCGTGAAATTTCAGTGACCATTTCTGCAAGTTTTGAACTTTAGTGACCATTTTGTAATTTTCACCTAACTTCAGTGACCGTTTGTGAAATTAACCCATTTATTGTGTATCTTAATCTTCACTAATTCACATCTTCATGGCATCAGCTTCATCAGTTATATCAGCACCTTTGATTATTGAAAGTAAGGTTGTAGAAGTAGAAGATATATAAATGGATCAGATTAAAATTTCCAAAAATACCATGAACATCGCAGTAAAGAATACCAAGGGAATTATTTTTGTACCATTTTAAAACAATGTAATCTAACATTGAAGACTGATGAAGAAATGATCACAAAGAGAAAAATTAAACACAACTGTGACTTGTTTATAATTCATGCAAACTTGCAAGTGCTCATCGTGTCCTACAAGGGTCGATATTTTCTAGCCTTCCATAATTCCAAAAAGATTGTCGAGATGCAGTGGGTCCGAGAAAGTTTTATTCATTAGCGTCCAATACCCACTTCCAAATAATGCCCCTATTCGATATAGTTAAAAATCAGATTTTTAGTAAATTTTGATAAAAATTGATGAAATGTCAGGTTGAAAAATTAATTGTTGGATATGACTTAGATTTAATTTAGTTTTATTCCACACCAAAAGGGGCCATATATGACATACACGTAGATGCAAACAATGATTTGACTAGTTAATTTGTAATATATTTTTCTTATTTTAATATTATTTTTAATTTTTTATCAATTTAAAAATTATTTAATAATACATACAAATTATAGTACCAAATGCAGTTTGTTTATTTTTATTTTCCAATTTATTTATTTTAATGAAAAATAACATGATATAAAAATAATTTATCGATTCAATTATT